GTAGATTAAGCGACTGCCTTCACCTGAGGTCATGATCCTGGAGTCCCAGGATCAAGTCCCACATGGGGCTCCCCACTCAGTGGGGTGTCTGCTCTGACCCTCACCCATCTCAAGCTCCCTCTTTCTCAAGATCTAATAAATAACATCTTTTTTAAAAAATAAAATAAAATAAAAAACTGAATTCATCACCAAGTGCCCCATGTCAGCACAGAGGCTTTGGACACTACCTATAATATCTTTCATAGGTATCTTTTATAATTATATATTTTTTATTTTTAGCTGTCTTCATTATTTCTCAAATCTCTCTGGCTGGCAAATTATCCTGCCTATCTTTATTCTAAATAATTACTTGTACAGTTAGCTTTTTATACTCATATGCAGAAACCTACATTTTTACCTATTGCCCTATATTTCATCTCTTTAGCTAATAGCCTATAACTACAGCCTTTAAAAATCTTTGTGAACCCTGATTCTATCGTCCAATACGTTCACTACCTTTCTCATTCTCCTTTCATGCATACTCTTCTACAAAAGAGGGAGAAGATTCTCTTCCATCCTTTCTACACTCAGTTCCCTGACGACACAGTATTTATATCTAGGTCAAATGGACAACTGCTATTCCATTTGTTATGTTCGATGCATTCTAAACAGCTTAAAGAATTAAAGTACTACTTATACTAACTTCTCTGCACAAATAACATCCCATACTAAGACTACTTCTATGTTAAACCTGCAGAATGCTGCAAACACTGTTTTTTTCCCTCTTTTCTCCAATCTATACTTAAAATTACAGAAAACTGGATTCATATTGAAGGTGGTCAAATCACTAGTCTATAAATAACTGAACTAATTTTTTACAAACATGAAACTTAGAAATTCTAAGTAAACATTTATTACTCTTTTACTCAAGCCACATTATTTTTACCATATTACTTTAGTCTTCTAAAAAAAATTAGATAGCTCTACAAATGCCTCAGTGCAGGCATTCCAGTGAAGAATATGGCACAAAATTTTCTGAATAATAATACAAAAGGACTCACTTCTGAGACAGGGCATCTTTAAAAAGAGCTAGTGCCAGAACAATACTATTTTGCTGATGTCCAAACGCTAGCCAATAAAAATACTTGTTCCCATAATCAGAAATAGATTGTTAGCCATAGAATGCCTCTGCAAAACAATTCTTAAATTTTCTTTGAAATATTGTTACTAAAATTAACTGTAACTTTATTTATATGACTGTCTGTGGTTTCCATGTGTGCCTAAAAAGCACAAGAAAAAGATAAAAATATCCCAGAATTGGAAAAGTAGTCATTATGTTTGGTTTAGCTTATTTTCATATTTTTATTTTTAAAATCCATCCAAATTAAAGTTCAGCATTTCTCAATAGATGAAAAGAAAAAAGAGGCAATTAAAAAATATATATTTTATTTATTTATTTGAGAGAAAGAGTGAGCAAGAATGGGGGAGGGGAGAGAGAGAGAACACATGAGCCAGGGGAGGGGCAGAGAAGCAGACTCCCTGCTGAGTAGGGAGCCCAATGTGGGACTCAGGACTCTGGGATCATGACCTCAGCCGAAGGCAGACACTTAACCAACTCAGCCATCCAGGCGACCAAAGGGCAAATTCTTTACATAAAAACAGAAGGAACAAATTCAGCATCCTCTAAATTAAATTTGGGTTTTGACTTATTAGTGAATGGATACCTAAAATCCTTTTTCACAAGTCATAAAGTTCAGTCTTCAGGCTAAACACAATAATTTGTGTTAGAACTTATATACAACAAATATATGCTGACTGAGGAAGAGAGGTGACAACAGAAAATAATTTCAGTATTATAGTCTGAACCTAGATTTGACCTCAGGCAAAATAAACATGTGAAGTTGATTTCTATACAACACAGCATTCTTTTAACATTTCTGAACCTCAGTTCTTCAAAATTATAGAACCCTGTTTTCAGATCCTGATTTACACTAAAATATAATGTCAACCACAGTTTAAAGTATCACTATCAGAATATTCTCAGATTGTGGCTGAGACTGAGAGTCAGTATTTCATGTGGTAATGGATTTAAAACCTAGCTCTGCTGCATCTTAGCTGTTAGAGCTTAGTGAAATTGTTTAAACTTCCCTAATCCTCAGTTTACTTATCATAAATTAGGTATACTACCATCAATCAACCAATTAATGTGAGTTCATCATAATCTATCAATCCTATGCAACTGTTAAGATATTAACATTAATGTTATATGCTAAAAGTTATTCCACTATTTTGGAAGGGTTAAGATTTTTTTTCCCTGTAAATCACAGGAATAGTGTCATGATCACCCTGGACTCAACAAACCACTTAGAGGGGCGCCTGGGTGGCTCAGTCGGTTAAGCGTCTGCCTTCGGCTCAGGTCATGATCCCAGAGTCCTGGGATCCAGCCCCGCATCAGGCTCCCTGCTCTGCGGGGAGCCTGCTTCTCCCTCCCCCTCTCTGCTCCCCCTACTTGTGCTCTCTCTCTCCCTGTCAAAATAAAATAAATACATAAAATTTAAAAAAACAAACCACTTAGGGACTGAGCCAGATCACCTTCAATTAGACTAAAATTTTATTAGGCCTATATCTGGTCTTGATACTACTTTGGATTACACAGTATTTCACAGTTATTCAAGTTATTGCTATTCAAATGCAGAATGACTGCATGCCTCTAATACATCAAGCATAGCACAAAGCAATAAATAATAAGAAGACAAAAAATTTAAGTTAATGATTCTATTATGTTTTAAAAATGGGCTTTAATAGATGTTAGATCAACAAATTTATTTTGTACTTGACAAAGCACAAGAGACATTAAGAGTATCAAAATTGCATTCAATGATGGAAAAATTAAAAAATAAAACAATTTCCAATGTAATCTAGCAGACCAAATACTTTTTAAATATTTTCCAGCACAAAAAAATCTTGAAATGCTTTGCTAAGAATCAGCCAAGAGGTCATCTAGGGAAATCTTAGGTGAGAAAAAGTTCTGTCTACCTCTTAGCACCTCCACTTCACCCATCAGCAGCATAGGACTCTACTTGTTATTGAAGATACACTGATAGCACCTGAACATGGGAGTGTCTGTCACACAAAGGAAAAATACCATTTACTAGGTAGTGAAATCAATATGGGTCTCTCCCTCACTACTGGAAAAACATCGGAGACATCACAGTGTCCATGCCCCTGGCTTTCAAAACACAAAAATAATCCCTTCCCAGTCATAGTTAAATAGCCCCATTAATGTCTGCTGTTCTTGAAACTTGTAACAGTGGTTTACTGTTCACACTGTCAAAATGATGTAGTTTATTTCCCTCCACACTTTGCTATGACGGTCAGTAAGAACTCACAAAAGAGTTCTCAATGGTCCACAGCACCAAAATCTACCCCTTTCAAACATCACTTTCGGATGCTGAAGCAGGGCTTAAAAGCTTTGTTAGTGCAAATACCCAGTAATTCACACCACAAGGCTAATTACAAGTATATGTATGCATATACATATATGTATATGCAGAAGAGAAGGATATGTATATGCAGAAGGAGAAGAGAAAGGACTACAAGGGGCTCTCCAAAAAGTTACTTTTGCTTAGATCCTCACATTCTTTCCCCATTTTTAATATCAAAATTCAAGATTTGCCTTCTCTGTGTGTCTACAGAACCCACAGCCTTCTTTATACAGTTGGGTTGTAACAACCAAAATTAAGCATTCAGCAATGTATCTTTTATCGAAATGGACAGTCATTAGCTAGAATGAGAAAATTCACAATTTTCAACATCAGTTTTATTCCTAATGGGTATCTCTGACCCATGATAACAAGAGAACGAACAATTCTGCTGCAGAGGTTGGGGAGGAAGGGGAGAGGCTGCAACATGTAGAACGAACGACAATAACAAAACAATTATCATCATCATTATCAACAAGCTACCTCATTTGCTGAGCACTTACTTTATAGAAGCCATTGTTCTCAGCATTTTGTATATTTTTTCCCATTTTATCTTTACAACACCCTATGAGATTGGTATTGTTGTTATCTTCATTTTATAGATGAAGACACTGCTGCTCAAAGAAGTTAAGTAACTCGTCTAAAGTCATACCATGCAGCTGGGATTTCAACCCAGGCAGTCTCCTCCAGAGCCTGCACTCTTCACTATCAAATCATACCAAATGTTCTCTCAACAAGAACTACTTTAAAGAACAGTTCTCGTGTGTGTGTGTGTGTGTGTGTGTGTACACTCACACAATATAAATACATATAGACACACACATACACACATATCCATACTCCACCATGTTTGAGAACAAAACTTCATAGTCATATTGCAAAATACCTTAGTACTCATCTTTCCAGCCCCTCATTTTACCACCATGGATCTGTCATCACTTAGATTGTCCTGGCCATCAAAATTACGCTCAATCGTTAAACTCCTTTAAAATGACTGACAGAAATAAAGCAGTTGAATTTCACTATTATAAAGCAATCTGCAGATCATGTGCTAAAAAGAATTCAGATTTGTGACTTCAAGACCAAACTGAACATGACTGGTGATCATTAAACCAACCTCTGGGAGGGGAGAGGAGGGTGTCTGTTTTTCGTTTAGTTTTCACCAAAACAATAACGTGAAAATGTTCAGACAAAAATATAGTAAGTATTTGTTTAGTGACACACTATCACTGAAGCTCACAGGCTAAGATTTTGACTAATGAATCAGAGGAATTTTTCAGCTTCCATGTACATAAAGATCACTAATTTCTTCTTGAATATTATAAAGAAGCTTAAATGAGAAAAGAATAGCAAAACAGGCATTCCAGAATCAATATATTCAAAGGTTACTATACTTGGAGACAGGGGGATTATTTCTAGTAACATGTTACAGTAAATCACCAGATTATATAACAGTAACTATACAACAAATATAACCATAAATGTAGAATAAAAAGAAAAGTATCATTATAAAAGTACAAGAAAGCAACCACAACTTACCAATTCAATTCCCTGTGGAAAAGGTGTATCATCCCAGTCCTTCTGTGGAAATCTCTGGATTATTTTCCCCAGACCTGCTCCTGACCCTATTAAAATCAAAGTGAATTAGTTATATAGCACAAAAAAAGTCTTAATACTCGTTATATGAATACTTATTTATAAATGAGTATTTGCTGAATAAATAAATATATTAATTAAATATTCTCAAGTTTCAAAGGGCATAAAAGTATTTACCTTCTAAACATAATATTGGAATAACAAGCAATCCCTATCCTATAGACTCTCAAAAGAGGGACACATATGAAAAGCTAGGAAAAATAAACAGAGGCATTAAAATCTAGAGCCCTTACCATACCATGAGAGAACTGCTCCTGGTCCCAATAAGGAAAGCAATCTTCTCAGTACCTCTAGTTGAAACTTAAAAAAAAAA